CGATTGTTCCATCATCGTTTGAATCAACCACAACTGGGGCATCCACGTTTGCCGTTTGCTCTGCAAGTTGTGGCGCCGCATCCTCAGCCGTAGTATTTTCACCCGATGAAGGTACAGCCTCACGTCGTAGCCGTTCGAGTTCGGCGACATCAAATATATTTGTGCGCAAGGTATACCGAACTCGGTCTTCCAGGTTTTGCTCTGTGACGGTTATAGATGGCTCCAGCTCAGTAAAAAGACGATGCATCCTAGCCCGATATGCCAAACCTCCAACTTCTCCCCCTTTCGCCCTAAAATACGCCCGCAGTGCGTTGGTATTCATTTTGATTGTCCATCGCATATGGCGTACTCCACCAGTGGCGGGTGCCGATTGCTGGGCCCGCGAAGACCCTGCCGACATCAAGTCAGATGGTGGGGATGATGGATGCGAAGGGACTGATGGGTGATCGTGCAGCACCTCTCGCTCGGCTGGCGGTTCGCATGCTGTCGCGTCCAGCGCCAGCTCCAGACGCGCCCTGGCGACCTCCAGGCCGCGGCCCTTTGCGCGTTCTTCCGTATTCCATCATCCATATAAGTGGGTGCCATTTAACGGGAGACGCCCAGATCCGGCGCCGTTCCATGGTGGAGCCATGTGTACAAGCGGGCCTTTGCACCTTCAATTTTTGCCGAGGCACGGCACTTACACCTCTTGGCAAGGTGCTGACTGACTGCGCTGACGTAGCGGTTTTGTCACATAACTGTTACGTCAGTGGGCGATGGGGTCGTCACTTCCCTACGCCTTGTTATATTATTATTATTCCATCCCACCCTTGAAGTACTGCTATTTTTAAGGCTACTTATAATAAACTTTTGACTTTGCCTGTGTCTACTGGACTAAGTGACAAGATTTAAGTGTGGCCTTGTATAGTTTATTGGCTTTACAAGTTAAGAATGAGTCATTTAGTTGTTTTTTGTTCAGAATACTATGAGCTAATTCACCAGCAATTGAGGTAAAGTACGAGTAAGGGTTATTTTCTATGATTAATAAATCCGTTGATACTGATATACATATTATGTACGTTTTAAATTACTTAATTTTTTTATCCTTTGCCATGTTTTTGAAGTGAAAATTTCTTTAGCGGCGTTGTACACTTTTTTGTAATGGGTAAAAAATGTTAAACCCGCGTCAGGACACGTGACCCTGATCGAAAATTCATAAGATGGATGGAGAGAGAGAGACAGCTGTCGTGGCTTAGGAGAGGAAGTATCCCCCTCTATTTCTACGGCGCGGTGAAAATGTATGCGCGCGCCTGCTGTTTCGTTTAGGCGGCGCAGGGCGCTTGCGCGAATGTTCGTGTGTAATAAATATAAAGCAATTCGTGCAAAATTATTCCCTAATCTTTCCAAAATATCACATATGCACAACTTCTGCCGGCACTCCCGGAGTGCAACCCGTCGTTGTTAATTTTGAGTTACCAACAGACTTAGCCAGCTGTAATTGGTAGTAGTTGCGTTTTAAAGTATTTGACATAGAATACATATATTTCTATAACTTAAGTAATTCTTTTTTAGTTAGTCATTATCTATCGATTTCTTTAGGATTTTATGTAATTTATCTCTTTTGCGTATACATTTGATAACATGTGGAGTTAGCCAAGGCTTTGAGGGTTTATATCTGCTTGTTCTGTAGTGTTGCCTGATTTGACTGTAGTGTTGTCTACAATACATTCTTACAGTTTGGAGACCAGAAAACTTGCCATTTCATCAGCGATTTTTAAATTATAGTATTCTACCCATGGGAGAAATCTTAGGGTTGTACCTAATTTATTAAAATCTATATTAATTTTGTCATATTGGTAATTAGTTCTCTTCGGATTAGAATTTCCAAGATATAGGAATATTGGGCAATGATCAGTAAAAGTTTCAAATACAATTTTTTTTTGTACTGAACTACTACTTTTGACCATAAAATGATCTAAAATACTAACTTTTCTCGTTGGTTTGTCAATACCTTGTCTAAGGCCGTACGCTGCCATAAAATTTAAATAGTCTGAGGAGTATCCTGTGGTGTTCTGCGGGAAGATATCAAGACTAACATCTCCTGTTTCTATAGAATAAAGGTACGCTCTGGGGTTTCTAAAACTCGGTGATAAGTAGCGTCTAAGAAATTTTGTTTACAATTTTTAGCACTAAACAGCTGCCATCGTTGATTTTAGGATCATATATTTGTACATTTATAATATTTTCTTTTATGTAGAGGACAACACCGTCATTCTGATTATGGTTTATTTCAGTACTAAATGAGTTATAATTATTAATTACAGGGATAATTGTGTTTTCGTTAATCCAGCACTCCGTCAGAACTGTTATATCTATTGGTATTTCAAGTTCAGCTAAACATATTAAGAATTTGAACGTGAAAAAGTGAAGAATGTTTACGTTGAATACTACGAATGTTAACTGTTATAATACTCAATGAATTACTGCCTAAATTTTTAAAATAATTATCGTTTCTAAACCATGCAAGATCATTTACTATTGTACAATTGTTGTCACCGGTGGTGTTAATTTCACTTGTAGTTATATCTAGGTTTAAACTATTTAATTTGAATAAATAGAATTGAAGGACTGCAGAGCTCGTGTACAACCATAGTAAAAATGTTAGTGAGTTTCAGTCGGTAATATAAATCATTGAATTGTATTGTCTAATGAGTTATATTGTATGTTTTATGGATAATAGTTTGTGTCATTATTTGTGTGAGAGTAAATATGACATGAATTCGAGTGGCATTCATTTAATGTGTTTGCGTATAATGCAGCCGCAGTGATACGTTATTCGATATTAATAAAGTAAAATACAAATATTTTAATGAAACTAATTTAAGTGGCCGAAACACTCCCACATCTAGAGGTTGTAAAATATGGCTGGTGTGAGTAGGTATTGTAAACAATATTATCTGGTGGGATTTAGCATATTCAAGCACTTTTGGACTTATACGAATTGCATGTAAATCCATAATTAAAAATACGGGTCTTGCAGGACAAATACTTTGATCGAAAAACTTAAGCCATTCAAAGAATAAATCTGTATTTATCCAGCCCTTTAGTGACAGTCGGGTTAAACTGTTTGGCAGAGATCCATTCGATAGTTCCGGAATATTTCTTACTCCTTTGAAAATCACTAAAGCAGGCTACATACGACACGATATCGGTGGCGATCTAGGGTGGAGTAGTGGGGATGTCTCCTAGATTGCCTCTAAATCGTGTCGTATGTAGGGCCATCCTAAGTCGTGGCCGATATCGCCTCCTTAATCGGCTGGCAGGAGCAAAAACGCTTCCTAGATCAGCCGATGCTTCCTAGATCGGGGCACCGCCCCCTCCTTACTGCGTGTGTGTAGGCGCATCGGCCCTATTTCTTTTGGCAGTCGCTGCCGGCAACCCTCGCGGAAGGAAGTTAACAAAACAGTGATACTGAATGACCTTTTTATATAACAAATTTTTTACATTTTAATCATATAAACGGAGTAGAAGCCTATGGCACTGATATTTTACAAAAAACCAAAAAAAGTGAATAAAATAAATAAATTAATTGAAATTTTATCGAAATTCAAATCATATCCACCCTAACCTGTGACCCTGCGAAGTGACATGGTCAAGAATGCCTACTAAACTAATTTTTTTTATTGCCGTTCGTAAAGTAGAGTGTATGATGTAAGTAAGGAAAAGATAAAGCCTCTCCTCAACAACTAACTCCTATTCCAACGCTATCAACACAAGACCGCACTCATATCTCTTACAACTCCACAAGACCACACTTCGATCTCTCCTTCATCCTCTTATCAAGAACTAACTTCTACTCCTTCACCATCTCCACATCAACAAACAAGTTATATAAAAGGGAGTATGTCCGAAATTAAAGGTTTCTTTATGTTTAAAAAAAAGATATAAGCTATTTTATTTTCTGATAGTTTTACTCCGTAAATAAAGATTACATTAAAAAAAAAGTATACATATTATTATACAAAAGTATTTTATTTCCTTGTTTGTTGTGTGTAATACATAACCAGATTTTGACCAAAGCAGAAATGAACAAAGAGAAGAAATAACTAAATAGCATAGGTAGGAGAAATTGACGTTTTTATATAAGTGGCGAAATCATTTCTAGAAGATTATAAAAACTGTCTTCATCCATCCGGAGAAAATTAATCCCGTCCTTGGATTACAGGCCATTTAGTACGTTTATGTGGCTTAATTTTTATCTCTTTTGGAGCCATTTTTTCACCCAGCAACTTCTCTTTTTCTATTTTCGAATAAATTAACCGAGATGACTAATGCCAAACCAACACGGTGGTGTTTTAAGAGAGTCGGAGGTATTTTGAAGAACTCTACCGCATATGCATTCCGCTCGAAGTCCGAACGCGTACTGCTAGGCAGGCCCGTGTGTAAGGTCTACCCCGATAAAAGCCCGAAGAATCAAAGAGAAAAGATCGCCACCGATATCGTGTCGTATGGAGCCCGCTTAAAGGGGGACTAAAATTCCCAGCTCCATTAACACAAGCTAGCACGGTGGTTTTAGTGCCTTTTTCAGCATACGTTCTATTGTAAACGTATTTTTTACCTATTTTAGTTACAATCGTAGAAGCTTTGTATTAGACTTGTTTCGTCACAATTCCATATCCTCTCTGGACAATTCATCAAGTTATGTGCAACTAATGTTGCTTCTAATTTTTCATAAAAGTCAGCTATTATTGCAGGATTTGAACAAATAGCACGGCCAGATGAAAGGTTTTCGGGAGTTCTTAAACTTAACCAATAACGTTCTTTGAAGCCTACCCATCAATTCCATCATGCACATTTTTATTTGTGTTGAAGTTATGCTTGAATTTGTCTGTCTCAGCGAGCGAAAAAGCGATTTGCCGGATTTGGTTGAAAGTAAGACCAAATCCAAGTTCTTGCATTTGTATAATGTATGACAATAAACTTTGTTCAAAATTTGCTGACAAAGAAAATGGTCTACCAACCTTGAGCATTTTAATTTGTGTTATGCCCTGATTGCGTTCTTCCTTTACTCTGTCAACATTGACCTTTAAAGTACTCCACGGCACTTTATATTCTTTTGATGCCCTGTACAGACTCATTTTTGACTGCAGAACACTTTCAATTGCGGATGTCAGGGTTGTTTCATTATATTTTCAATTTTTATTTTTGCCTTCCTCCATGCCGTCTAAAATAAAAAATAACTCACTTAATCACGTGATAAAAAATAACGGACTTTTTAAAAATGCTTGAAAGCGATCCTACTTTATTATCTGAGTAAAACTAAATATTTTCTGACTTAGACTACTAATGTACACGTTCTAAAAACAATTATTAATACACGAATTGAAAATAATAAAAGTTTGCTTGATTAATTCGGTGACACAGTTTTGAGTTGCAATCTTGAGAATCGTTAACTTTTTGAACCCAGGAAATAAGGTATTATACAAAAACAAATGAAAAATTGCTAAAACCTTTGTCTGTATCAATAAGTATATGTTTTTAACAACTAATTGTCAAAGTATCATGACCTTACACTCACCTTTTCTATGCACACACAGCACAGTGGCACGCTACCGGTGAAACGTCAAACATGGCGGGCGCAATGACAAATCCCGTGATTGTTACTATCTCACTCGCACGATCTTAACAAAAATTTGTACACGAAAAGAAGCTTTATTACCATACTATAGGGCTCATTTTAATGTATTGGATTTTACTCCTAAAACGCTGTGAAAAAGTCCAAACGTTGTATCTCCGAATTAAGTGAGTCACACAATTAGGTGAGTTTACCCTATTTATTTTTGTTGATCGCTATTAATTAAAATTCTAGTATATTAAAATTCTGGTAAAATAATATTAGTGAAATAATAGGAGATCATACGTTACGTGTATGCCGTGTAGTGGCGGTTGAGAATATCCACTACCCCATATCTTCCCGTGGGTGTCGTAAGAGGCGACAGAGGGAGACAGGCAGGAGATGGGCAGCAACATCTTCCTGATAACAACTGTGTTATAATAAAAAACTGCGGTTGCCAACCCGCTCGCCAAGCGTTGCAACTATGGCAAATATCCCCCCATAAATAATGACGCAAAAAAACGACCCCCAGTCCCCGGCAGCCCCGCTATTCCTGGATACGGTGGCGACCATGGTAACGGTGGGGTAGGGGGTGCTAAGAATCTCCGGTGGAGGTTCGGTTGCCACCTACGACGACTCGACCTGGCAACATATAACGCACGCACCCTGAGGACTGACGAGAAGATACTGGAGCTGGAAGAAGAGGTAGACAAGTTGCGCTGGCATATTATTGGATTATCCGAGGTCCGAAGAGAGGGGGAGGATACGGCAATCCTCGAGTCCGGCAACTTGTTCTACCACCGGGAGGGCGACCATCTGTCCCAAGGAGGTGTCGGATTTATCGTCCACAAGTCTCTCGTCAACAACGTTGTAAAGATTGGGAGTGTGTCGACGAGGGTCGCGTACCTGATACTCAGAATCACCAAACGGTATTCGCTGAAGGTCATACAGGTTTACGCACCAACCTCGGCACATCCGGATGAGGAGGTGGAGGAAATGTATGAGGATATTTCCAGAGCCATGCATTCCTCCAAAACCCACTACACGGTGTTGATGGGAGACTTCAACGCAAAACTGGGCACAAGAGAAAGTGGTGAGCTGAAGGTGGGGAAATTTTGAGTAGGGCAACAGAACCGAAGGGGCCAGCAGCTGGCCGACTTTATGGAGAAAGAGGGACTCTTTATGATGAACTCTTTCTTCCAGAAGCGGCCCCACAGGAAGTGGACCTGGTCGAGCCCCGACGGTTCTACAAAAAATGAGATTGACTTCATTATGACGACCAGACGCCAACTATTCAATGATGTCTCAGTGATCGCAAGGGTAAAAACTGGCAGCGATCACCGAATGGTTAGAGGCACACTGAACCTAAACGTTAAGTTGGAGAGGTCTCGTCTAACGAAGTCAACGCTCCTTCCCCCCTCGTGCTCTAATCCAGAATCCCGAAACCTTTCAGCTCGAGTTACAAAACCGCTTTCAGTGCCTAGAGGATTGCAATGCAGTGGACGATATGAATGACAAGCTCGTGGAAAAGCGGCATGGAGAGCAGAGTTACAAAATTATAAAATAAAACATCCCAGCTTAGTACCCACTAGATATGATTTCCACAAATTCCTAACACCGGTCTATGAAAAATGTTTCATACCAACCAATATTCGAGCAGGATTATAAAGCTGGAATCTATCCATTAAATAAAAATGCTGTATGTACAGACGCTATTGCACCTTCCAATTTATCAATGGAAGAAATAACTATCGGTATTGACTACGATAATGAAATTCCTCACTCTGGAATACATAATGACCCTCTGTGTGACGGAGAAGTCAAAGAAAATGAAGACCCTTCGATCTCAAGTACTAGTCTTTTTGAAAAATCTTAAACACGGAATGATGAGCCTCTTGTTTTACAAATGGAATGCGAGTTAGAATCAATTATCAATACTGAACAAAACATTTTAATCACCGACGACGTATCAAGACCTCAAAACAAAAATAAAATAATTATACATGATATATTAACATTACCAAAGTGGAAACCAAATACCAAAACACAAAAAAAGAGAACCGTTCCCAAAGCTTAGTGTTTAACACCGGTTGCCACAACATCATCTGCAATCGTATCTGTAAGACATGTTACAAAAGAAGATAACCGGCGGCAGTTATCCCTTCAGCAGATTAATAAACCAAAATCACGAAGACAAACAAACGAAAATGACAAACAATCTTCTCAATCATCAAAATATTCCATCTCGAATGATGATTGGATTTGTAGTACGTGCAATGGGCTATACTCACAAGATGTTAAGTTACAAAATGGAGCCAACTGAATAACATGCTCGTTCTGTACTAATCATTATCATACCCATTGCCAAAGTCAAATTATAAATGACAACCAAGAAATTTTTATGTGTGATGGTTGTAGTATTGACGAGTCCAGTGGTGAAGAGTAAAAAACAATTATAAAGTCCAATATTGTTTTTTATTTTTCCCCACTTTTGATAGTTTCTCGTTGATTAATAAATACATAATTATTACTTTCAATATCTTTATATTTTTTATTAATTTTATTTTTTGTTACTTTTGTGTTAAAAAATAATAAATACTTAATTTGGTTATAAAAGAATTAGAGAAGTATTATCACCGAATTATGGTGTTTGTCGCAGAATTAGGCAAGTCATCGTGGTTTGATTAAGCTCATTTTACGCTAAGTTAATTCATACGCAAGTGTTAAGATTACATCTTACACTTGCTCATATGATAAATAGTCTGTTTAAGTACCAATTAAAAATAAAAATAAAATTTATAAAGTTTAATCCGTTTTTTTTTCACATTCTGTTTTGTCACATAATTAGATGAGTTGACCCTACGACGACTGTTCGGAGGGAAATAGCGACATTCAAAACTTACTACAAGAAAATAATATAACTCTCAAGAAAATGAATATACCTAACACCGATATACAGCTGTATTGCGAAACATCTACATCCCATATACGCCCATATATACCTAACGAATATCGTCGTGAAATATATAATGGCGCACACAATATAAGTCATTCCGGAACGCGAACTACACGCAAGTTAATTACAAGAACTTTTTTGGCTTACAATGAATACAGACATCGCCCAGTGGACAAGAAGTTATATCAATTGCCAGAAAAGCAAAATACAACGTCACACCCACAGGACCCTTCAAGCATTCCCGCCAACCGACCGATTTCAACATGTCGACATAGACATCGTCGGACCGCTCTAGGACATCGTTATTTAGTTACGATCATAGATAATATACACCTATATAGGGCAGTTACGTGGATGGATCGACTCAGAAGATGGCTCGAAACCACAGAACATCTAACAGAAATGCCTTTGTTTCAATTAACTTGCAATACCAATGCCGCCGCTATACTCCCCACTCCTCGTAGGTAGTTGCCGTACTACGATGCGCTGACGTAGAGCGAGCGAAGTATAGTTCAATAAAATGTCTATTGCGGTAATAATGCTCGCTTTTTATTGAAGTTTTTTTATATAGAAAAACGCAAAAGCATACGGTTCACCTGATGTTAACCCTTAACTTGGCAAAGTTTATGACAACATTATTTTTATATTTCTGTCATATATTTGGGTTGATAGGTGCTACATAGACAACAAAAAAATAAATTTAAAAAATCTGCAATATTTAGTTTTGTTTTTATACCATGTATATTATATCAAACTAGGTATAAATTAAAAATATATTTTTATAGAATAATTTATATAAATATTTACACATAAAATATATATCAAAATATTTAAAATAACAGTCTTCAAGTTATAGTTGGAACATAACTTCAACTTCTTTATTATGATTGTTTTTTTGACCACCACAGTCATACAGTTATCACTTATCACACATTTTTTATTATTTTTGTTTTGTAATTTCTATAATAATTACAAAACAAAAATAATAAAACGTAATAATATGACAATATAATCTATACATTTAACCTACAATCAATAAATTTAAACATAAAATGACACACGAAAATAAAAAATGCAAGTGACTACAACTATTTGCTTAGTCTAATAGCAGCTACTTTTCTTTCATTAGATGTAATTTGCGAAAAAGCTCCGCCGCCTCGTTTTTCAAAATTTTATCAAAAAGAAGCTTTATGTCTCCTCCACGCAAACGATTTGGTCTCACTGTTGCTAAGGAAAATATCCCGTACTCAATTCTCAAGTGATAAACTAATTATATAGAAGTAAAAAATTATCAAAGTAAATCACTTTACAAGCAGGCACAAGACAATAATCAAAGGAGCCTAAAGGGTGTCGAGGAATTAAGGGGGGGGTCCAACAGGGAAGATGTATAATCCTCCACATCTGGAATCCGCGTAGGCGAAGTAACCAGTTGTGTCAGACCATATGCCAAGGCAAAATCATGAACAGATCTCCCCGCATGATCGGTTAAACGTGAACCAAGCCATTCGGCGTGGTGGGCGTTAAAATCACCGAGGATCACGATCTCTGCGGAGGGGATCTGCTGTAGC